GCCCGGAAGTTTTTTGACACAACAGATTGTCTTCCTATCCCTGATGTGAGGGAAAAAAAAACAAGGTTTAGGACGGACCCAACACAGGTTAAAAACACACAACAGCTATGCTGTTGCTGGGACTGAATACTGTCGAATAAGTCTTTTAATACTGATGCACTGTCGGCTCTTCGGCGGCAGAAGACGTTTCCAGGGGTTCTTAATCCACCCCAGAGCAGGGATCAACGAGAACCAGCCACGGAACGAGGAACGGATCGAACCACAACCCGCAACGCAGGTTAAAGTGCATTTCACCTGAAACGACGGCTGACGTTCAAGAACGTCTCAGTCCAGAGCCAGGAGGCGTGAATCTGTCTGTGCGTCCAACAGTTGCGTTTTTTTGCGCGTGCTGATCTGCGCAGTCAACAAGTTAAAAAAAAATCCCTTTTCACCGTATCACAACGACTGCATGCCAAAAGGTGACAAATAGTCTTTTAAAAACCGTAGTGCATCATTTGTTTGAGAACAAATCTTGCGATTTTGACTCCAGGTACCCACTGACTTGTAGGACCTTCCTGTGCTGTACAGGATTACAGCATCTCTTTTAACTTAGCACAATATATAAATATAATAAAACCATGTTTTGTTAAACAAGTCTGTACAATTCCAGCCTTCTGCAAGGGGGGGTGGGCTCTCTGTGATTTTGGGACACAATGTTGAAAATGAAGTTAAAATATCAAATTGGAAAGGTCCAGAAACGCATTGCTGCCATCAAGGAAAAAAAAACCCCAACACAGAGTTATCTTATACTTACGAGATGGCGTACTTTGTGTGGTAATCATATGACAGCACAACTGTCCTGCAATACATTATCACGAGCCGACTGTCGCTTTTAATCACTAATAATTGCTGACCCTTTTAATCGCTTCTCTGGAGACTCCACTCCAAGCTCTGTACAGGTCAGGGGGAATCCCACTACCGCCACCAATGTGCAGCCCCCCACCTGGATGATGCGACGGCAGCCATAGTGCGCCAGAACGCTCCCCACACACCAGCTCTCAGTGGGGAGGAGAGCAGAGGGATGGAGCCAGTTCAGAGAGGGGGGTTATTAGGAGGCCATGATTGGTAAGGGCCAATGGGAAATTTGGCCAGGACGCCGGGGTTACACCCCTACTCTTTTCGAGAGACGCCCTGGGATTTTTAATGACCACAGAGAGTCAGGACCTCGGTTTGACGTCTCATCCGAAGGACGGCGCCTGTTTACAGTCCAGTGTCCCCCGTCACTATACTGGGGCATCAGGACCCACACGGACCGCAGGGTGAGAGCGCCCCCTGCTGGCCCCACTCACACCTCTCCCAGCAGCAACCTCAGTTTTTCCCAGGAGTCTCCCCTCCAGGTACTGACCAGGCTCACACCTGCTGAGCTCCAGTGGGGGGGGGGGCGGGGCTGCCAGCTGGGAGCCGCAGGGCGATAGGGCAGCTGGCGCTGGCACAAGCAGCGGAGTCGATGGCTCTCGCCTAAGGAGGGGCGGGGGAGTCCTCGGGGTTCCGTCGGCGTGTGTCCGCACGAGGAGCGCGGATCGTCACGTGCCCCGATGGCCGAGCCCCAGTGGGCGGTCAGGCGGAGTGCTCGTTCTGCAGCGCCCGGACGCCAAACGCTTAACACCCCCCCCCCACCAGTTCCAGCCAGCTCCTCGGTAGCTCATGACACCCTGGTCAAGTGATCGTCGCCGTCTCGTGCCGACCAGGTAACTCTGGTCTCCCCCTCCCCCTCCTTCCCCCCTCGACGGCGGCTCTCTAGAACAGAGACGCCAGCCCGGCCCTTCCCAGAATCCTAGGCGATCACGACGGCGGCGGGCGGCTCAGCCCCGGCGCAGTGGTGGCTCCTCAGGCTGCTCGAGGTGGTGAAGCCCCTCCCGCAGGCCCCGCAAGCGAAGGGCCGCTCGCCCGTGTGGACGCGCAGGTGGGTGGTCAGGCTGCCCGACTGGCAGAAGCCGCGGCCGCACTGGGTGCAGCGGAAGGGCCGCTCGCCCGTGTGGATGCGCCGGTGCTTGCGCAGGGTGCTGGGGTCGCCGAAGCTCTTGCCGCACTGGGCGCAGCCGAAGGGCCGCTCGCCCGTGTGGACGCGCAGGTGGGCGCGCAGGGTGCTGGCCTGGCTGAAGCCCTTGCCGCACTGGGCGCAGCCGAACGGCCGCTCGCCGGCGTGGATGCGCCGGTGGGTGCGCAGGGTGCTGGGGTCGTTGAAGCTCTTGCCGCACTGGGCGCAGCCGAAGGGCCGCTCGCCCGTGTGGACGCGCAGGTGGCTCTTCAGGCTGCTGGACTGGCTGAAGCTGGTGGGGCAGTGGGCGCAGCGGAAGGGCCGCTCGCCCGTGTGGACGCGCAGGTG